GTTCAGACGTGTGCTCTTCCGATCTTTTATTTTTATTAAAATATATTAAAATATTAATATTTTTTACATAAAAAAAATTTCATTAGAAAAAGAAATATTTGAAAAATCGATAGTAACTTTAAACAGACAAATTGAAAGCTACAGTATTTAGTAATTATTTCAGTAATAAACAAATTTTCTTAAAGGCACACTAATAGGGACACTTACCCTAGAAGATAATTTGCAAGGCTATCAAATCTGATTGTGAGACTCAGAAACAATTTTTGGAATACCTTATCACCGAAAAGGACGTGATATTTAATGAGGAAGAAACTTAATGAAAAATTCATTCCAACTGAATTTAATGAAGATAAACAAACAAAAATAACTTCGAATTGGTGATCAAAATGGGGAGAAGAAATAAATTTTGAGATTCAGAACAGTATTTCTCAAAAGGACACTCGAGCACATTACGCACCTCATATTGAGACTAAATTGCTAAATGATATTGGTACGATTGTTTTATGGAGTAATATATACACAGATAAATTTGGTTACGGACGTATACCAGCATCGAACGCTTCAGTTGAAAGTGAATTCAACAAGTTAAAAAATTTAGTTATTAATAAATCTTTAAGAGTAGATAAATTTGTGGAAGAAAATATTAAGTATTTAAACGGACGAGTCATTATAGCAGATACTAATATTCCTAAAAAAAAATTGATCAATCATGGAATTCGGATTTAACTGATAATCAAGATATGTCTTCGATCTTAAATAAAACTTTGAATGAAATCTCAATTGAAAATAAAGCAACTCTTGATTCGACAGATAATGATTCATTAACAACCGATATTGATTTGGATGAATGTGTTAGTTCATATATGTCTGACAAGAAAAATGTCGAGACAAAAATAGGAAAGATAAACCCAAGAAAGAGAAAAATTAAAAAGGATTTGGAAAATAGTTTAACAGATCCAGAAATCACTGCTTTACGAGAAATAGAAAATTGGAGAGAAAAAGCCACCAGACAAGAAAAGAAAAGAAAAGCAAGCAAATATTTAGGTCAACGAATGGATGAAATCTCAGACATTTTAAAATCTAAACCAATAAAAAAGACAAAAATACCTCTCTTAAAAAATGGTACTTGTCTTACTTTACAATCAATAAAACTAGGAGGCAAATCGATGGTAGTCACTAATACATGTGCATTTGATAGTTTATGTCAAAGTCTTTTGATAGCATGTTACATTTCAAATGTTAGATCATTTATTGAAGAAAATGCATCATGTATACCACTATTTAACACGATAGTTAATATTTTAAAAACAGGTTTGTTTAAATATATTTATTTATTTTATTACTAATAATTAAAATATGTAACATATAAAATTAAGATTGATTGGATAAAACAAGATATCTCTTTCAAAAGTATGCATATTTTGTAATTTTGTAGGTTGGTTAATCTGCCTAGCAGATTTGAATATGCTTAAATATCCTTTTTCTTTGATAAAAGATAGTATTAGAACTTAATGCTTAAAAGTAAAACGAGTGTTATTCCCGTGATAAAACAAATGATATATCGTTCTAAAATTAAACTTTTATCATTGGAAAAAATTCGTATTAAAAAATTATATACTGTTTACATTATTATTTGTAGCTCGAATTATTTGTAAAAAAATCGCGATCCAATTGGAGTAGCAAATTAAGTAATTTTTACACTAAACACAATTTTTGCTAAATGATTAAAATAAGTTAATCATAAATGACATTCGATTTTACAATAGAAATTTTTGATGATTGTAATTGGTTAACTGTCTATACACAATTTTTTTAGAAGTAATTTTTTTACAGTAAGTACAGAAGTAATTTTTATTACATCAAAGACATATCGTTTACGTACTAATATATTACTAAATATATTTGGTACAAGTGTTCAAGGAAGCATAAATCTCGTTAATTGTTATTGTAGTGTTGCATATATAACGAATAAAACACTTCTTCTGATATGGCTACCGCCCCCACGAGAGGTTATACAGCCTAATATTGGTGATATTTCATCTTACCGGAGCAGGGCCGGAGGGGCGGAATTTGAGTAAGATTTTACTAGATAATAATGTCTAGGAATTTTAGGTATTTATGAATTAGAGTACATAGCCTGGGGGGGGGGGGGATTTTGAAGCATGGGGAATATGTCTGTAGTGTTTGTAAAGAAATTTTTTAATTATAAAGGCGCAGAATTTTTGAGAGCTATGGATGCACAATGGACAATGGAAGATAACATGATTGATATCTTGCCTGGACTCGCCGCATGGGCACTCGGGAGAATCAACGATGTTTTTTCTGAACAAGCTATAGTTTAGATTATAATGATTGCTCCGGATGCGAGATATACTGACAATTTCTTCCCTGTTTAAACCTTTATTGAAATACCATGTTTTTTGAGAATCATTCAGGTAAAGCTCGGAGTATTGCGTGCCTTTAACAAGAGAAATTTCTTCCAGATAGTGTTTGTAAGAATTTGTTTGATGTAATTTTGCCTCCACTTGGAGATCAGAGAAAGGAACCTCAAACGCAGGTTTGGCACTTCTTGTTGTAGCCCACTTCGCAAGGCGATCCGCCTTCTCGTTGCCGGGAATCCCCTTGTGTGCTGGGACCCAGCAGAGGATGATTTTCCTTCCTTCTCTTTCCGCAGCGATGAGTTTTTTCTTGATCCGATGTATTAGGTAGTTACCTTGCTTGTGATCCGATGAGGCGAGGGCCATCAGAACACTCCTGGAGTCTGTGAAGATATTAGCTTCGGTAATATTCAAGTCGATAATTGCAATGATTGCATGCAATATGGCCCATACCTCAGCAGTGAAGATAGAGACAAATGAAGGAAGCTTGTGAGTTATTATGAAATCAATGCTGGGAGAGTAGATGCCAGCAGCTCCGACTGGGGAATAATCTGATCTGGAACCATTTGTGTAAAAAGACGTAGCCTCAAGCGATAGTTCTTCAAAATGCTCTTCAAACTTGGCGCGCGCGATGTGTGAAGGAGTGTCTTTTTGTATATCTGTTAATGACAGGTCGATGTCTTTCTTGTAAATAGAGAGTTGATAAGTGTCGTCGAAAGCCGGTAGAAACGTGGAGCGATGTATTCTGTCTAGGACGTGCTTTGTAGCACAGTATCTATCGTATACGGGGAGGGTCTTCCTAGCTTTTTCTCTGACCGCATCGGAGTGGGTGGAGATGTCAATGCTTCGTAGGCTGCGAGTGACAATACTAAATTTATGGGAATATACCTTATAAAGATATTTATCTATGAGATATGTGAATCTTATCTTTAGAGGAACTTCCTTGGCCTCCGTCAACATGACGTTTATTGGCGTAGAGATTCTATATCCCAGAGCGATCCTTATGGCTCTGAACTGTTGTCTCTCGAGTTTCAAAAACATCGCCCTATTATCTACGAAGCGAAAAATTAAACTGCCATATTCAATGGCACCTCGCAGCACAGCGCGATATATACTAAGCAGGGTGTCGGGGTGCGCCCCCCATGAAGTGCTCGCGAGTGATGCCAGCACGTCCGAGACAGCTTTGCCCTTGCGCACCAGGTGCTTCGTGTGAGTCTCTCCCCTCAGGGCAGGGTCCAAGATGATACCCAGAAAACGAACAGAGTAAACTCTGGGAACAGACTCTTTGTTAATGAAAAGCGCAGCGTTAGAGGGGATCAGCTCTGGTCTTAGAGAATAACATCCATTTGAATTTGCTGGGTGAGAGCTCTAGGCCTCTAAATTGTAAAAATTGCCAAACTTTATCTAAAGCCGTTTGCTGGCATTCAAAAGCCTTTACAATGTTTTCCTCTGTGGCGAACAGTACAATATCATCCGCATATTGTAATATATGTACGCCTTGCGGGATGCATTTAACGATTTTTCTAAGATATAAATTGAAAAGAATCGGGCTAAGGGTAGAGCTCTGCGGAGTGCCTTTAAAGGAGAAGAAGGGGCCATATAAAGTACCCTTCTTGACAAAGAAGATCTTTCTTTTAAAGATTAAATTCTCAATAAATTTACGACATCGAGCCGGGATGCCAACGTCCGACAGATCCTGTAACAATATATCAGGGCAGACGTTGTCAAAAGCACCCTGTATGTCTAAAAAGACAGTTACAGTGTGCATGGAGCGCAAGAATCCAGAGTGTATGTAATTTGAAAAAGCACATAGATTGTCTGCACAAGACTTTGCCGGCCTGAAACCGAATTGAAAGTCCGGTATAATGTGACGAGATTCCAAAGCCCACCGAATTCTGAAATAAATGACTTTTTCAAGTATCTTGAGAAAACAGGATATCAGAAATATAGGTCTAACACCGCCTCCATTTTTGGGAATAAAAATTACAAGAGACGTTTTCCAATCAGCTGGGAAATCGCCCGTTTTGAAGATGGAGTTAAATAACTGAAGTAAGCTATCTTTATATTCTTGGGGGAGTGAGTTAATAAGATCATAGTCTATTTGGTCCAGGCCAGGAGCCGATTTAATCTTGGAAGAACTCATCGCTTGGTTGAATTCTTCGATCGTAATTTCATCCAAATCAAGGACAGTATTAGGGTTGAGTGCGTTCATGGATATCATATCTTTCATGGATAGTCGGTTATCATGTAGGCATGAGTCCGGGTAGAATTTAGAGATTGCCTGCTTGATTATGGCAGAGGATGCAGCACAGGTGAAACCGTCATTATGATCCCCAAGATTACGTCTTTTAAAGAATTTGACAAGACTCTAGCTTGGCAGTCGGAGTCTTGCTGTCGAAAGATTTACATAGTTCTCTCCATTTCTGTTTTTTAATTTTTTGAAGCGATTTGGTAGTAGTCGCGCAAAAACTCTTGTAATTGGCTAAATTGGTCATGATGGGATTTTCTTTAAAAAGTGCCATGGCTTTCCTCCTGACGTCAATTAACGCTTGGCAGTTCTCACCAAATGGAGGGAGACTTGAAATTCTTTGCCAAAATCGAGTGAGGCGTGTTTTTCCTGGGATGAATAGCTGCAATGTGAGTCTTAATGAATTTTATAAATTTCGAGTAGCATGTTATAGTGTCCGCATCGTTCGACCCGACAGTAGGCAGAGAGCTAGAATCTTTGAGAAGACGAGAATTTAACTGTGCTTTTAACAATTTGTTAAGCCTGATTTTATAAACGAATCTTTTTTGAGGGATGTAATTGCAGTTCAAGCTGACCGACACCGGAAAATGGTCGCTACCAGCAGTATCCTGCATACAAGTAAATGAGCAGAGAGGGACAAGTCCGGCCGTTGCGATGGCGAGGTCTATAATCAAAGTCGGAGACCCTGGGAGGGTGAGAAGGGTCGGACTTTCGTCATTCAGAACTAATGAATTGTTGTTTTCAATTAAATTGGCCATGGCAGTTCCGATTCCGTCCGTTCTACCGCATCCCCAGGAAGCATGATGCGCATTGAAATCGCCTACGAGGAGAACGTGTTTATAACTGTTTAGCAGATTAAATAAAGCAGAGAGCGCCGAAGAAGGAGTGCGTTGACCTGGATAACGATATATATTAAAGATATGCACAGGTTTCCCGAAACACTCCAGACGTATACCGATTATTTCTAAAGATTTGTGAAAGTTGAAGTTGTCATTGAGCTGTATAAAATTGAGATTGTTACTTATTATGATAGCTATGCCACATTCTCTTTGAGCGCATCTATCCCTTCTTACAACACGGCTCAACGTAATTTTTGAAGTAGGATTTAGAAGAGTTTCTTGTATGCAAATAACGTCGAAAACTTCTAAGAATTTTTGAACTTCTGGAATTTTATTTTTCAAACCACGGCAATTCCAGGACATGATGCGGGTTAAATTGCGAATTGAGGAAGATTTGGTGGGCCTGGGCGAGAGTGAGGAAGGCTGGGGGGAGGAGGAGGGAGAGGGAAAGGAAAGGATAGAGGAGGGGAGGGGAGGGGGGAGGGAGCAGGGGGAAAGGGAAAAGGGAAGGGGAGAGAGAATTAGATGGGATGAGAAGGACCCGCCCCAGGGGTCCTCGCGGCGGAGCCGGGTGAAAATCCGTCGGTTGTGAGAGACCAGAAGCACTGTTTGTGTTGAAGAATTCAAGAAATTGTGTGATCTTATTTACAATGGGGAATAAGAGACTAATAAGTGAAAGAATTTGCTGCAAAGTTGTAGAGAAATCCGAGGATCCATTAAATCCTAGAGTTTTAAGTATGTTTAATATGGAATCTATCCCTGAGCTGGAGTTACTAGAGCTGAAAAGAGGAGAATTATCACGACTCGGGAGTGCCGACAGAGAAGGCTGTGAGAAGAATACACCATTCCCCGATTGTGACGGCATGCGACCATTGGAAGTTATCAAGTAATCTTTACTTTGGGTATCGTTCTGGGGAGGAAAGCGATTTACCAGTCCCCTACTAGGAAGTTGGGAAGAACGAGAAGCCGTTCCTATATGATGTTGAACTTGCCGACGAGAGTCGTTGAAAGTGATCTGAGCATAAGAGATGCGATTATTCGGGGGGGAGGTCATGTGAACAATCTTCAAGAATATCAAATCTATTACTCGACTCGTAATTGTTACTGTTGCAATAGAACGAGGAAGGGTTGGAACGAAGACCAGAGCTGTTTCCGGATGAAGAAGATTGTGCAATTTTTTTCTTGGCGTCGATTAGCGAAATGTTTTGCGACGCAGCGAGCGTGAGAATTCTCTTTTGTACGGTAAGAGCGGGACAAGAAGAATCAGTGGGAAGGTACCCGAACAATTGATACAGCGTGGCTTACCGTCTCTCAGTGGACACACCGTCCCATCTGCATGAGGGGAGTTACCGCAGTATTGGCATCTTGGCGGGCTTCTACAAGTCGCAGCAGCATGTCCCGCTCTGAAGCAGGAGTGGCAGATACGGGCCCTCGGAACATAGAGGCGCACCTCGTGTCGTGCCCAGAAGAGAATTACATGGGATGGTAGTAATTGACCTGAAAATTTCACGCATATAGTGCGGGAAGGTACGTATTGAGGCTTATTGTCGATCATAACCCTCTTATTGAAGCGTTGGACATCTATTACTTTTTGATCAGAAATTATGGCGTTCTTTATTTCTTCTGTGTTAAACTCTTGTGGAACATCGCGGATTACCCCTACCCTTAGAATTCTGTAGTTAGGGATTAAAGCTTTATAGTTGAAAGCAGCGAGCATGGGGTTAGATACAAATCTATTGGTTGCATCAGCCGATTTACACTCAACGGATATCTTACTCATTCCGAGTTTTTTCATCTTCACGATGTCCGAGGAGGGCATTATTCGGCCGACCTCAGCGAACATTTTCAACGGATGGATGCTCGTACGGTTGTTGCTGAGCGCGTGTACATGAACGATGTACGGAGATGAGTCCAAGTTTGTGTAGGTGTTAATTCTCTCTTCAATTCGGCGTGACTTTGCGTTGTTTATTCCCGAGCGCGGAGAAAGCGCGCTACCCGCATGCGCAGATGACTTAGAAGCGGAAACAGAAATCGCAGCCTCGGAAACCGATGCCGCGCACCCCCCCCCCCCGCGTCCGCATCCCCAAGCGGACGCTTGTTACCTCTACTTGTTCCAGCAGGTGAAAGCCGCAACGATGACGGCGCGTCAATATCCATGCGATCCTTTATGATGGTAGTTGAGCAGTTGGATTTCTAAGAATAGGCGAGGACGAATTGCGTATCCGCCAACGACGGCCAGTCCCGCGCACTGTCGAAAACCGGCTCAGACAAAGAACCATTGGCATCCATAGGAAAGGAAGGGATAGGATGTGAGTAAGAGGGGCAGTTGTTAATTGCCTTGGGAGGTAGGGGCAGCCCTGCGCGAGGGCCATTTGCCCTTCGAACTGAGTGAAATGATCTAATGGGACCGAAAGCGCGTGCTGCGTGCACGAGGCAGCATGGCCGACGATGCCGGCACAGCCATCCCCCTCGGCCCCGCGCGAGGCTGTAGCCTCCGACATAGCTGAAAAACGGCTATCACAGATGTGGTTTTTAAGCAATTCGTGTGCCAAAAGAAAAAAGGGATAAAGGGACTATGCCCGGACAATAACTGCCGCGAGAAACGACGAAGCGCACCGATAACTCAGCCTCACTCGAGAGCGCAGTAGAAACACGTCCGAACAGGCACGAGCGCCACACGCGAATTCCGAGTAAAACACTGATCAATTGTCCAAGCATTGAGCATGAAATATTCTGTTCAAACAGTTGTCCAACTTAACGAAAGACAATGAATATTTTACTTATAGAAAATTCACATCTAATCAACAATTCATTTGATAACACAATTAAGGAATATTTAACATTGACACCCAAAACTTGTCAAAAATGCTATTCAAATACTACGGCTAACATTAAAAATGCTGGTAAATATTTTATTAAAATTTGATAATTTTGCACATTTTGCGAATAAAGAG